CTCGCCTGGCAAATCTCAGATCAGCCCACAGCCCTAGGAACTGTGACAGAGCGACTATGTGGCTGCCTGCCAGTGAGACAGTGCGTTGATCAGACATCTGTCTTCCACGGATACACACACAGAGGCAGGTGGCATCAGAGAGAAGCAAAAAAAAAAAAAAACAACAGGAAACCAGGGCTTCACCCCAGTCATTATAATATTACCCTGGGATGTGTCACCCTGAATTTCTTTGTTCACATTTTGTCTCAAGTGCTGCAAGTTCTCAGGCGGTCATGAGTGACTCACCTAGCTCCAGAGACGACTTCATGAAAAACAGGAGAAAGCATGAACGTTGTTAAGCACGCTCTGTAAACACATTGGTTTTACTCTCACGGTGTTCTGATTCCTGAATCAATCCCACATCTCTGCCAACACTATCTGCAAGGAAAGTTTAAGCTGCCACTGAAGCTAACCAAATTACTGCATGTCATTTGTGCAGCTTATCCTTTCTACATTCCTCAGGGTGTATAAAGGTATCAGGCTTTCTGTGTTTGTACAACATTTTAACCTTACACCATGAAAATATCTCCCTGGGCTTCTGGCTTTAATGAACTACAGATTTCACCCCTCTGCTCATTTTGTGGAGTTGCAATGTCTAGAAGAAATGGTTGGGGAAAACAGGAAAAAACATGGACTAACCCTGCAGCTTCTATTTTAGGTTTCTATTATAGTCCAGGGGTGGGATAGGAACCCTTCTTCTTCCCCTTTCTCCAGTAAATCCACCCTAGCATGTCCTCCCTGTCTGTCTATGATGGCATGAATAAAGCCGGATGACTGTCTACAGTGTTGCAGTGTGGGAGTAATTAATGTCCGCATCATATACCTCAGGGTAGGAAGAAAATAATAAAAATCAGACAAAGAAAGAGAAAATGCAAAGAAGCTAAGCAGAGAGTGTCGTGTCAGAAAAGGTTTCTGTGCAAAAAAAAAAAAAAAGTTTAAACTGTGTCTAAAATTGTTTTGCTGTCATGTTCATCAAGAAACAAATGTAGAGTAATTGAATGAAAGAAATTAACGAAGGATGAATAGAATGAGTATAGCTGGTATCCCTCAAGTCCTTCAAAGAGGAAACCAAGTGCAGCCACACTGCAATGAGGATGGATTCATTTAGTATCCTGTCTGGTCTGCTCTCAAGAGACATTAGCCACAAAACATCCTCGTACAAAGGAGACATCCATACTTACCAAGTTAACTTCACATCATAAACAGTGCACCCTGGGACTATGCAGGATACAGTCTATTTTCTTTCAGAGTTGTACCACAGGATGCACACATTTTTACTGTTGGGAAGGAAAAGCAAAGAAGCATGCGGGTCACTTGCCTGTGTCTTTTCTTCAGGCAGGATAACTACCCTACAAGAAAGCACCTCTATGGGGAATCATAGGGGGAAAACAGGAAGACGCCAAAGTGAAACTGTTCATGCTTAAAGTCAGCTTTCAATCACTGCTCTGACACAATGGCGACAGCAGTCAGAAACAAACTGGACACAGAGACACTAAAGGGAAGTGGAAACAAATAACTGACTGTCAATGTGAAATACTGCCCTGTGGTTTGCCTGCAGATAATTCCCCATTTCTATTATTTGCACATATCCTGTCCTTGTTTTGACAAACACAAGTAACGGTACATTAGTAAAGGGAAGACTGATCCTTGAGACTTTTACAAGATAGACTGTGTGTTTGACACAGATTTGGTTCCCACACTGATTAATGGGTTGTGGATGGCACACACATACAGAAACTCCTGTCACACAGTGTCACAAATCTAGCAAATGAACTCCAGGTGGAGTCGCTCGCTGTGCTCCTAATGGCTGGAGTCGTCAATGTGCTCGTATTCCTTAGAGGTCAGGCGAGCTGTGCAGGCAATTTCTCTTTTTACAGTTTGGCTGAGGATATTTACACAGACACAAAAGGGTATTTCATCAATCAGTGCTCCCATTGATTTCCTTTACACTCAAGACCCTGGCTAATGTCTAATTTAGCAAGAAAAATTCAGTTATTTCTATTAGTAGCTAAAGGTCACAAGTGATGTTTGCTGTGTGGACAATGGGGGCCTCACATTATTGGTATAGAAACAGAAATAGCATAAAGCAGATGATCAAGACAAACAAAAACTCAGGTGGATACTGAGGAGAGTAAAAAAAACAGAATACCAATTAAAGGATGAGTTTAACATTTTGGTAAATGCACGATTCTTGCAGAGAATTAGAGGAAAAGAAAATAAATACCATTATCATGTCTAACTACCAAGTTGTGGTTTCACAAAGGGTTGTGCGCTCAACTAGGCAGGGACTTCATGGAGTCTCTGCCGGTTGTTGTCTGCAGCATCAAAATGACGACACGACTCCAGGACATTACTGTGCCAGAATGAGAAATGTTCCAGCATAAAAAAAACCCCACAACTTGTTGTTTGTATACTCAGTTTTTTGTATGGAAAACACACACAAACCCACATCACAGCAAATATCTGCTGTATCTACTTCAGGCCTGCTAATGTCCAGTTGTCCCTTTGGCCTGGATCCCACCCCGTTTGGTGTCTACATCCTCCGTTCATACAGTAACATACACTAATAGCCTGTCTGTAAAACCTATAGATGAAAAGCTTATATCTTTATATCAGATTTTACTTATTTAGACAGTCCTTTGGTAAAGCCAAATTAATCTGTGTACTAAAAGCTGCTCAACCTACAAAGGGAAAGTACAGCGATTAGGTTTCAGTGGCGGTGTTCATGCTGTACTATCTTTTAAACTCAGTAATACCATTGATAATGGTAAATGAACTGTATTTATATAACGCATTTTTCCACAGTGTGTTGCACTGGCCAAAGCGCTTTACAGGAGATGATACACCATTCACACACCGATGATGACAGGCTGCCACACAACGGCGCTAGTCAACCCACCGGGAGCAATTCTGGGTTCAGTGTCTTGCTCAGGGACACTTAGACATGAGGGGAGAGCAGGAGTCAAACCACCAACTTGCTGGCCAGGAGACGACTGCCCTACCCCGTGAGCCACAGCCACCCCATAATATTGTTAACAGTAGTAATGTGTCATTGTGGCTGAGGCATTGTGATTTACAGCACATTAACCTGTTTTTGCAATGTATTCAGCATCCAATACAGAACTGGTAGCCTTAAATGTTTTTATATGGTCAACTATACAGCTGTGCCTTGAATCAACAGCGTGTCATCGTCTTACCTCCAATTGCACTACACCTGGAGATGATCTCCCACAGTACAAGAGCCATGGAGTAAACATCGGCCTGTTTGAAAGACTCAATGTTTTCCAAGTTGATTCTGGACTCCAACACCTCTGGAGCCATGTACCTGGCTGTACCCACCTGAGGAAAAAAAAACACATTTCTATGTCACTGAATACTACTGGTGATGTAAATGGTAAGGGAATGTATAATAATATTTTGTATGGTTTAAACAAGGCGCTACAGGTAAAGGGAGCTGGTACACAACAAGATGACAGAGTAGTTTAGTTGCAAAGACTGAGCTAAGTAGAACATCTAAGTGGTAAGAGTTAACTACCAGCATTAATCAAGTGGCAGGCGCTGTAGTAAGATGCATATCTCACTTAAGCAATGCAAAACATATTTGGTAGTTAAAATAACTGGAAAAACAATGGTAGCCAAAAAACACGTTGCTTGCCTTCACAAACCTACTGCACTGGAAAATAAAATAGCTTTCTCTAGATGCATTAGGCATTACGGTGCATTAGGTATGCTGTGCAGCAAAGGGTAAGGTCTTTTCATAATGAGCCATTTACATAACCGAGCCTAATATGACTTGCCTATCACATCAGTGCAATGCCTCAATAAAGAATCAATCAAGCCTGCTTGTCTGATAATTATAATAGAATCACAACTTAAGAACAATTAGAGGTAATATCCATGATTAATGAGGATCAGAAATAAAAAGTTTGATTGATACAGTAGCATGGCCCTTTTCAAGGTCTGATAAATATCTTTACGGAAACATATTTATGTGGCAGAGCTTACACTGAACCACGTGCTGCCAGCACAAATTATAGCAGGAAAGGATTTTAAAAAAATCTCCTAAGGGATCAAAAGCCAAGTGAAACCAAATAAAAGCTTCAAATGTAGAATGAGAAACCTTCACCTGTCCACTGTTGGCCAACTCGTCGACAGACAGAGTGTTGTCTAAGCGGAGGGCGAGGCCAAAGTCACACAGGCAGCACGTCAGGTCACTTTTCACCAGTATGTTGGAACTCTTTATGTCCCTGTGCACGATAGGCACCTTATAACGACCACAGGGGGTGTGGTCACTGTGAAGGTGGGCCACTCCGCGGGCTAGCGAACACCCCAGCAGCCACAGGTCATGCCAGTTGATAATATGATGAGTCAGGTACTCTTGAAGGTTGCCTCTTGGGTGATAGGCTGTGATCAGCCAGTACTGTCTGTGCACCTTCCTTTCCTCTGCTGTCAGAAAGTGAAGCACATTGTAATGTCTCAAGTCTGCGTCTGAGAAAATATCCTTCTCATTCTTCCAGGAGGCGTACTCCTCGTATGGGAAAATCTTAACGGCCACGGTCTCAAAGCCCTGCTCCTCGCTGACCGAGGACCCCTGCTTCAGTTTAGCTTTGTAAACCTCTGCAAAGCGTCCTTTTCCAAGGAGAACATCCAGTTCGATGGGCAGCAGCTCAGTGTTGTGGTTGAGGTTGTTGGCGTGGGTGGAGCTGCTGTCTGAACCTTCATCATCTATCATGATGGCATGAGCATCACTGAAGTCCAGCTGAGGACCCTTCTTGCATCTGGAGCTGGCTTGGCGCTGGCGGTAGACCCGGTAGCAGTAGAAAGAAGTGATGACGATAATGGCCATAACCAGCAGAGGCACCAGGCTCACTAGGATGACAGCCATTAACTGGGACTCTATATCTGAGGAACAAAAAGGTGCAGGGCTGAGATGATGATGATGATGATGATGAAGATGTCCACATGTATACAAATTACTTTATATCTCTATATTACAACAGAAAAGGTACAAAATTATACCCACAAAAGATTATGCCCTGACTCCATAGTTCTCTCTGGCCCTGTGTAGTGTTTTTGCATCTTTCAGTTTTGGTTTTATCTGTACCTACTGTACCATGTTACCGTTTCATTCATTCTCGCCTTGTTTCCAGATGCAACAGGCAGCTTAGTAGCACCTAGCTAAGAGGAAAGAATTATTCAGAACAGCACAGGAGCCTAACCCTTCCCTGTGGAATGTCATTAAGCATCAGAAAGCTAAACTTAGTGTCTGGGCCCCAAATGAAAACCGCGCCAAGGCCTGACCCAGTCAGCCACATATGTATAGTCTCTCTCTGTAGTGGATCTCTGATTCTTATAATTTAGGAGGTGGAGTGTCTAGAAGCTGCTGGATTTAAGTTTATGGTTGTGTTTGTGGTCCAGTTACTGAAGACTCACAAAATAAAATCTATAAAAAAGTATAACGCCAGGTGCAACGTTCTGAACATGAAAAGCCCATTTGGTCCACAGTTTGATGAGTTCATTATCATTTACACATAGTCTTGTCTGGATGCCACACAACTTTCCTGCCCATTTTCCATTTTAAAATTAGATTTTCAATTTTTAAATCTACTGTAATAATGCAGAATAATCTCATATTCTTCCAAACTGCAGGAGTTAATTAAAACAAACAACAACAAATAAAACTGATTTTAGAGGCAAGCATAGATGTGAGGAGCAAAAGCAACTGAAATAAGGGAGGAGGATGAAGGGGGGGGGCATCTACAGTAGACAACTGCCCTTTTACACCCTGTGGTTCTCTCCGTCTTTCTTCTCAACAGGAAACCACACGTCTGAAACTCTGAACGTGGCCCCAGCCTGTTTGTTTTGACTTTCCTAGAGCGAGCAGCCATTTCTCTCAACAAACCTGTCACTGTGTCTCCTGCACTCTCTCAGACAGATCCGGCCAAAACCCTCACGTATAATACAAAATATTGAATGCCCTTTAGGAAATACTGTGTGAATGGCAAAAAATGAATTACTGTGAGTGCTGTCATGTTACATTTGGGAATAAATGATACCCCTAATCCCTCAGTTTGAAAAGCTTTTGCTCTGAATTATTGGTTTTAGACTTAAAATATTTAGACATTTCAGGAAATACACTTATTCGCTTTCTTGCCAGGAGTTATGAGAACGTGATGCTGCTAACTTAAAATTGGGTTTCTTCTATTTTAAGTAATGTGTTTAAGATGTTTTTGCAGTGTCCTAAATGTATTCTCTAGTTATGGGAAAAACAATACTGTAACTGAATGCTCAGTCACAATGGAACACCGGTCACCAACTAACTGAGACAAGTTAGTAGTGTTGCTGCTGGATGGCCTTCTTCACAGCACTGCCTCATGTTAGTCACTGAGAAGTTAGAGAGAGTCCACAGACATTCTAGGCAGTGAGCAAATGCATTTCCATGACGTGGTTTACAACATGCAGATGCTTTCAGTTTGGCTCTCTGCACAGCCAGGTCTTGGAAAGGCACCTCTGTGTTACTGCTGCCTGGATATTGTAGTCATAATAGATCAGATTCCAGGGCCAGTGGTGTAACTGGCCAACAAGCCAATGTCTCCACAACCTGTTTGTAATCATGTATCTGAAGAACATTACAGTGCACATGTGGCGCCTTACATGAAAAGCTAGTAGGAACTGGCATGATACGATTGGCCAAGACTATGACATTACCATGTTATATTGTACAGATGTAAGAACCATGAAGTCATCTTATATTTTAATGCACCACTGCTACACTACTGTCCCACTGCGGAAATAAAGACACTGATGCAAGATAGATGCATTAATACAGGACCTATCACCATACAAACAATGGATCAAATGACTGGGTAATATTCAACAGGTGGCTCCTAGTGATAAACTACTGTTCCCCTCAGATCTACAGTGTTCTCGAGCACCTTTCAGCCAACTGTTTTGGTTTTTAAGTCCTGCTACTGTACTGTTTTGATTTAGTCTCACCACTCTCATCAGCCTTGTTTCAACCTGAGCAGACAGCTGTGTTCAACACATTAGCTCTGATAAATCCACTGTATGCAAATGTCCCAACACCAGTGACACTAGCTGGTGAGCACAGTAGACTATTTAACAGCTAAAGAGCTAAATCTCTCTCTCAGGCGTGCATGGAGACCTAAACAGGAAAAAGAATGAATACTAACCATACATTCGTCATATCACAAGAATCATGACTCCCACTGAATACTAATGTCGCTCCGTAGCTGGTAAATGTGTATACAGGCAATCGCTGGCTAACATCTTTACCATAACTAATTTGTTTTGTTCACCAAGTGTGCAAACAAACAAAACCAGCCAATCTTGCTTTAACTTACATGGGTTAAAAATGATGTGCTCATTGCACTCATCCTCAGAGCAGGAACAGATGAAGAACTGTGAGCCCATGCCGTTTCTTTCTTTCATCTCACATTTGCTGTTGTTGTAATCGTCCAGGACCAGGCCGTACAGCTTCTGAGCTGGGTTGTGGCAGACTGTATCAAATGTGACATTGTCATCTTTCTTCCTCCTTGAAAAAAAGAAAACACAAATATAAAATGCTGCCGTTTACCAGAGGTGGAAACTAAGTACTGTACTTAAGTACAACTGAATTTTTCTGCTACTTCATACTTTGACTTCTCTACATTTTAGAGGCAAATGTTGTACCTTTTGCTCCACTACATTTATTTGATATTTCTCCGCAGAGATCCATATTATGATGTGACAAGGTGATGATTTCAGATTTACAGTTGTGCAAATAATGCAGTTTCTCAGCCGTACAGTGATTAGAGGTGAAAAGGGGATAGTAGAAAAAGATTCTACTTGGTAGGAGCCAGATTTATCTCTTTCACAGCATTTATGTAAATGAAGGCAACACAGAGGTCACATCTGAAAGCAGTGGGATTTTTTAAAAATCACTACAAACAGGAAACAGGGAAAAACCCTGAACCTGCACAAAAAAACACTTAAATTTTGCTTCCCTGCTGAGCAGAACCGGTGCGCCGCTATGATGAAGACATTTTAAAGAGGTGCCGCTGTCCATGTGTGCCATTATTTTTCTGCTAACCTCAGCTCATAACATGCTCGCAACATTGCTAATATAATGAAAAACAGCAGCACAGCCTTAAGCTTTTAACACCAACACAAATCGGCTTCCTTCTGCTTCTCACGTTCAGTCAGATTCGATGCTGATGGGTGGTTAGGCATTTGTGTTGGTCATAACCTAGCCAACTGTCTTCAGCATAACGCTGGCTGACAAAACGTCCAAAGGTCATTTTCACAAACATATTTTAGGAGCTGAGGAAGAAAGGGATGCCTGATATGATTAATAAGTATCTACTGCCCTTATTTCTTTATCTAATAGGCAAATGTAATAAAGCTTATAGGATTATGGTTTAGAAATCCAGCCTTTGTATTTAGTTGAGTGAACACTTACCAAACAGCGACACACACATCTTCATCATGAGGGCAGATGGCCGTGATGTTGCACTCCACCTTACAGCTCCCTTTACCTTCACAGCTGGTTGCCTGGACATCACAGAACTTGCACAGCCTTTTAATCTTCACTATAATGGCCTCTGACAAAAGAGGAGGGAAATCAGAGAGGAGAGACGGTGAGCTGGGTATACAAAGAAGAGTATGACTCTAAAACGCCTTTCCTCATATGCCACTGTGTTTGATGTCAAAATGACAAAAGCAAAACACTTTTATGATGGTTGATATCGAGAATATACATGATATTTAGAAGCACTGATAGCAGGAAAACATTTAAATTTAATCAAAGTGTGAGAGTCTCTTGGAATGATAAACAGAAACAGATATTCAACACAACCACAATCCAAAAATCCTAACTATTTCTTTCTAGGGGGGTGGACAGACCATTTCCCCTGTGATGTCTGCACAATAAGAGCAGAGTGCAGCTGCATCCACCTCCTTTGGTCTTGTTCAGACTTGACTTTGCCAACAGGCAGACCCATATCAGTGAGACATACAGGGCTGTGTGATGAGTGCCTGCGGGTTTGATAATCATCTAAAGAGACAACTCCAGACAGGCAAGAACAACAAACAAAGGAAACATGGATGCACCTCCTTGCTGAGAAGTCTCTAATTTGTCAAACTGACACACAGGCTCTCCTTCTCGAAAGGTGCTGTGCCAAGTCTCCTCATGAATATCAAAAAAAAGGACAACATTATGCATCAGTGTCTAAGAACGTGTGTATGTGTGTTGATGACTAACTGTATTTCTCAGTTCTTCAACTGCAGAGTTGCAGTTTGTAAATGATAACAATTTGCCAAACAGCATGTATACTCAAAATTGCACCGCCTGTTTGGTATTAGTAGTGTGTTTTTAAATTCCATGAGTATATCTGTTTAGTATAAAAAGAAGACTTGGAGCAACAAGAAAGAAGAGCAGTCTCTCCACTCGTCTTTCTTCTCCTTTTCAGAACAGAGAGCTTCCCGCTACATAAAAGTATGAGTGTACAGAGGATTTTGTGGCTTGAGCTGGAAATGTTCCTAAAAAAGGATATTCCAAAAGGCACCAGCTGTTAAAGTATCATCAGGAAAAATGTGTCTTATGAACAATCCCACATGATTTAATTGCTACATGAAGAGTTTGTACAAGTGTACACAATGTAGACCCAAGTGTTATGATGAGTGTGTGTATTTACTGTAGGCCACTTGCTGTGTGTTGCGAAGGAGCAGGTGAAAAGAGGCTAGCAGAAAAAGATTCGACTTGGTAGGAGGCTTGGCACTAGACTGACTCAATTTACAAAACAGATTATCATAACAGCAGAAGAAGAGCAAGAGCGTGTGAAGGTAAAGCCACAGAACCGCACTACAACAGATGCACGTGCACAGGAAGTTAAACCCATTCATTGCATCAGCATGCAACACCTGCGACCAAACCACAAGAGGACAGTTCATTTCCACCAAAATCCACACCTCCTGAAAAAAAACACGCAAACGTAACACATCATGTGTCTGAAGTGGAAGCTGGTTGTCTGAAGATGCCACATGACCACACAGCGCAACGTTTTAGACAGGGAAGTGCAAGTGAAAGCAGACTGCTTTACACTGACAAGCGGACTGTGAAGATGTCTGTTCAGTGCTTGCCCCTGACTTCACACTGACTTTAGGAAAAGGAGTTGTGTGCATTCTTAGCCTGGCACAGAAAGTATACAGTGTCATTTCATGAAGCCTGCAGGGTGGGGTTAGACCTAAGGCTTGCACACATACTGTACAACCTGCAGTAGGAAGGAGCAGCAAGGCTAGAGCCCTAAATGTCGATGGTATCCTGTTGCCTCTCAGTCAGAGCCAGAGAGACTTACAGTACTTTCACAAAATGCTGGCAGGATATTGCAGACGGATATTGCTTTCTGGCCTTGACTTAACCGAGAGACTCCCATACAAATAAAAACATGAAAATGTTATACTTGAACTCCACAATAAACTATCTGACAGATCAATTTAAAACTCTGCCTGGTGGGCTGGTGAGATGCTTTGAAGTAAATCGGCACTGAGGGGATAGTACTGGGAGGACGAAGGCGGTTGAGCTGGAGTAATTATATCATTAGAACAACTCCTCTGAAAGAGCATGTCATTTAAACCCAGGAGGCGGGCTGTGGAAGGGATGAATGCTAGTAATTGTCACCTAGGGCTATATATAATTGCACAGAGGGGGAAAGAGGATTAGGAGCATCCAAAGCCACTTGGTGCCGCTGGGACTGGGCCTGAGACAGATGAAGGTAAAACGCTGTCTTCCTCAAGGCTGAAGACAGCTAGACCTGTTAGCATTGTGGCTGCACATCATCACATCAGATGGGAGATAATCCATCTGAGGAGGCCTTTAAAGGCTGTCACCTACAACAGGTTAATGTAAGCAGAAATTAATTTCAGGAAGACATGAGAAGCAGTACAAGCGATTAAGACAAAGGCTTCTTGAATATACAAGGGTAGTTTTCAATAAATTAGGCTTCTGTTGTTGTTGTTAAAGCGATGTAATGACGTAGCGCAAGGCTGCGTAAACACATGCGTAAAAACTGAGTGTAGTTTACAATGGTTTCCTATAAGAGGGACTTTGTGACTTTGTAGCTGACAATGGTTTCCTAAAGTAGACACTTTGTGACTTTGTAGCGCTCCGTACCGCTTCACTTCTGAAATGACTTCGCCTCTGAAAACTTCTCTAAGAGTATAAAGTTCAACTCACCAGTGTCCCCGAGCAGGATACTACCGAAGAGTATCGTTCCACACCAAAAAGCGAAAAACCGAAGTAGCTCCATTAAGAAACGGATTACACACTCCACACGTTCTCATTAATTTACCGAAGCCTTGACAACGAGTTAATATACGGACTCCGCGGACTTTCCTCGGCCCCCCGCTGCTCCCTCGCCGCTCCGGGTACAGTACAATACGCAGAGTAAACACAGCAGCCAGGACTTGCCCTATATGACTCACGGTACCTATGCGTCTTTTTCATGAAACAGGAAATCTGCAGAGGGGTTGGACAGTCTTTTCCTTCCTTCTACTACTTCTCAACCACGCTCATGTGGCTCACAAAGTCTTGAACCGTGTCATTAAGAGGCTGAAACCACAGAGCAAGACTTGAAATGACATGCTTCTGAAATAGCTTAACCAGAAGCTTCACCTATAGGCTACAGGCAGATACAAACACCCGGATTTACTTCAAAGTAGTCACTCTTTTCACATTTTAGAGCTGTCATGTCCTAAAGAAAACTGCTAACATTTATTTATTTATTTGCCAGAATGATCATGTTTACACCCTTAGCAGCACGCTAAACACATTTATGTCCAAGTCACTAAATTACAGTCTTCTGCTACACCTTTTCCTGGAGAAGTTCCAGGCCTCTTCATTAATCAGGTATGACATAAGAAGTGGCCAGAGTCTCTCCATTTGTATTGTAGTCGCACAGAAGTGAAGTCCCCTGTAACACCCATAAATTATCCATTTATCGCTTGGGCTGGACAGATGTTTGCTCTGCATACTCGAGCTGTGATGTCAGGGTTCAGTCTTGACCCTGTGAACCTGGAGTTTATAACTCAACACAAGACATCCAATCATTATAGCACCCGTCTCACTCAGCATTTATTATTATAACAGCTCTATGGTGAGTCTGATAGTGTAGTGGAAGTGTGGAAAAGAGATGTTGCAATAATTCCAGAACTTGCTGAGAATCATCACATTTTTAAGTTGCCTTTGTATCAAAGTGATAGTTGTCTGTATATCCACGGGGATGTTTCAAACTGATAACGGTGCTAGTTTATAAATGGAAACAAATACAGGCTAAGAAAATAGGCTCAGGTGTCACACTTTGAAAACCACTGGTCTTCATGTTTGAGGTGACATGTTTTGATTTATTCCATTTGATTAACCTTGTTTTACTTTGGGTATTTGTATATGTATTTGTTCAAACTTGTGTGACTGGCACCCACTCAGCACTGCAAGATGGGGTCCAAGCCACAAGGTGGAGATCCGACAGCACTCTGAGCTCAAGACGGCCGTTCCCCACTGACCCCAGTGCATGTGGGCTCCCAGAGGGTCACGGCATCCTGCTCACTAACCACAACACCCAGACAGCTTCTTTTACTTGATCTTTACCTGAGCAGTGAACACACAACACTCCGGTGTGCCCAGAAAGGCATACACATATCTGTTTTAGTGTTACTTCAGGTGCCTGTTTCACTGTTGCCTTTCCCCTGCTCAGGTTTGCCAGTATTCCTTTGCCTTTGAGCATTCTTCCCCCCACCTCATTGCACAAACAGATAAACAAGCACCAGGCAAATATCCTGAGTGGTATTATTCTCAATAGCAGGTGCTCAGTGTTCCTGTAAACTGCTTTGTTGGACTGGAAAGGCAAACAGAACAACCTGATGACAAATCTCTGGACGCACACCTTAAGATAACACCGACAGCAAACAAGCACCGCATGTGCCACATTACAAAGGCGTTTGGAGATGTCAAGTCTTTTTGCACCTTTCTTTGGGTCTCTGTGAGGAAAAAAAGTGGTAACACAAGAGTGTTGTCTCTCCCACACACAGGATTGTATGCATATACCACATGCCCATTTTTCACCTCGCGCCGAGTGCCAACTGGAAGTATGACAACAGAAGAGCTTGCACAGGAATATTGAATCATCACTCTGTGCTAAGCTGAGGCACAGCAAGCAAAGCTAGAAAGACACTGAACTGCTGTTAGAAACGGTGAATTTATGGCACCTGGGTAACTTGGCAGTTATGAGAGAGTTAAGCTCAGATAGGTTTTGAGATGATTTTCTCTGATAGGGATTGATCTCAAACATTACAACAGTATGTTAGTGAGCTGCTTGCAGTTCGAGGCTCATATTAGGTTCAAACTTAGTGCGAGTGCTTTTTTTGTTCTTCTCACCTAGAAAAAGGTATGAAAAAGTATCACAACTGGAATTTAAAAGAGGAACGTGACTTAATATAGCATGCAAAATGCACAAACATGTACAGAAACCCTTGCCATGTACACTAAAGATGCTGGTATTAAACTCCAGTCTATTGCCTGCACTGAATTAGTAGTTACAAAAGAAAGCGAGTATGCCTGACCCAACATGACTTTCATGTGGCTTTGCATGCACACAAAGTCACACATAACACACAGTCTTACACAACGATTTGGCACAGTTTTCTTAGTTGGTAAACCTAAGGAAGTCACAGTGTCCCATTCTGACAACAGCAGCCTCTCTCTGTCTTCTACCACATGGAACAGGTTTTGTCTCCCAGCATTAGTCAGATGCTGCAAAGGAAGGGAACGTTTATCTTAGAAGCCCCAAAGGTTACAGCCTTTGGTATCACAACACTTTAAGGTATTGTTCTCTGCCAAAACATTAAAAAAAATCTAAACAGTGCCAAAAACTTGTTTTAGAAAAAGAACACACTGCAGGGAGAAACAAACATGTGATCAAATGCTGCAGCCTGTGACTCCCATCTCTGTGTAAAAAGCAACATCCTGTTTCTTGGTGTTGTTTATGTGGAGATGAAGTGACATGCACGGTCAAATGACGTAATCCTATCTGCATGCACTACAGTACTGTATGCGTATACCTATTTTATATAAGCCTTTCATATTGAACATACTGTATAAGACATAAAGTGCAGTCTCATAAAATCCAAACTCTAAAAACCTCCTAATTATTTAGCCATTGTAAGTTTAGTCTTCTTGTCTGTAAAATACTGAGCAATGTTGAACTGGTGAAAATGACCCTCAAGCTAAATTTAAACCATTTCAAAGCAGCAATAAAAGGAAAGGAAACAAACACAAAAAGCTAGCAAAAGCAGAAAAACTCCCATCTCCCTTCCTCTGCTGATATTGTTTAGAAACGGCCTCTTCCCTTTGGCATAGCGCCTCACATCAACAATTTCAGTGGCTTTTGATGAATCCAAAGAACCTAATTGCTTGAAGGGGGAGAGCGCTGTGATCTGTGCGGTGTAAAGTTAAACCAGCTAAGGCCCATCCTACCATTTGTCCCTAGCCTGTAACTGAAGATGATAATCACACCACTTACCAAACCTAGATTACAGACTATTTAGGCACATAGGGGAGCGATTTAGTTGCCTTTGCCCCAATAAAATGTTTCAGTATGAGTCTGTAATGTGGTTAAGGATACAGTTACACACAGATGCAATCATAGTGACTTCTGTTGTGAACTAGTGCAGTTTATCAATGAATTTCATGCATACTAAAAAGATTGCAGTATGCATTGTACTGTATGTGAGCTCTGTATTGATATTTTAATTTTATGCTAATTCATACATCTACCTCACTATATTTAAGATAAATACTGTTTTATGAACAATGAGTAATGTTAAAGCTGTTGCTTTTAGTGATAAACTTACCACCACGGAGTATCTGATTCTGAAAAATAACTAATAACTAAACATCAAATAAATGCAGTGGAGTAAAAAGAACAATATTTGCCTCTAAAATGTAGTGAAGTCAAAGTATGAAGTAGCAGAAAGTGAAAATACTGAAGTATAGATGCTTCAAAATTGTACTGAAGTGGTGGAAGAAGTCCTCAGATCCTTAACTTCAATAAATCAGCACTTTGGAATTGTTTTAAACTGTGCATCAAGATGACATTTCTACTAATGTCTTCTACTTGGAGCAGCAAAGGACTTCCAGTATTAAGCCCTGGGATAGAAAATGGCAGTGGTCCATTGAAGGTTGTAATAGACAAACAACATCTGTTGATTTACAGTTGACTCGCTCTGGGATGCAGCTTGGAGATAGAGGGGATGGGTGTGTGCAAAGAAAATCCAATTCGCGATGACACACAACAGGCCGCGCTCCAAATATGTTCAGTGAGCGAGGCCAGTGATCGTGGTTTCCCAAGGAACCCGCTTCTAACAAACATTCAGCATCAGAGCGTTTGAAGGGCAAGTCCTCCCCAGTTTGAGCAGCCGTGCGCATATTTACAAACATCTGCAGTTTCTCTCCCGATGAGACCAAAGATTCTTCTGCGTTGTTCCCATGGGAAAGGCTGTGCCGAGATCAGGATGAAACAACATTCCAGCCAAACAAGGTTTCCACAGTAAAAATGGTAGCAGACAGTAAATTAATGTCACTAAAAGAGCCCTCCCTACCCACAGAGGCCCTTTGCTGTCAGAGATGTTCATACACAAAGAAGCGAGCACTTCATTAGTGGATATCAGAAGGGCATTTAAACTAACCACAGGCAAAGTTAAACTGGTTCGATGACATTTTCCTTTTCATTTGATATCAGATATCGGCCAGTCACAACCTTCCCTATTGAAAAATATGGACAGAATAGAATTTAATTACATATTAATCATGTAGTTAATGAATGCTTTACTAGTTAATGCCACAAAGCCATTAATATCATTTGACATTTGCTTTGGATGCTGCTCTTTTATTTTTTAAATCTCTTTCCATTTGAATCATTAGATTGTAGTAGTTTATTGTCTTGTGATGCCATTTGAGTAGATTTTTCACCTAACAAAACATAAAATAGAATTTTAAAGAGATTTAAGGATGTTCAGTTGATTCAATATCAACAGAAATTTTGTTTACTCTCTTTTAAAAATGTCATCCTCTGAGGGCCGAGACAGTCTGCAGCCTTACTGAGGTAAACTATCATTTTCCATCACTCCCTTTTGTCTGTCGCTCCACTGCACATTGTCCAGTGAGCATAAACGCCTTAACCCAGTAAAGATCAGCTGAATTACAAATGAACTGCTCTCAGCTAACCGGCAGTCAGCCGTCGTTGATCTCAGACAAACAGATGTACTCTGTGAGTTATTAGCAGCGTATGTTGGGGGGCCTCACTGTAACGCTTCCTCCGAGTGCCAAGCAGAGCGAAGGGTGTCAGCGGGTACACGTTGGTTGTTCCAGCACAGGAAGCAGCACTCATCCTGTGCCACCTTCTGCTCTTGTTGCAGTCAGGAAATACCACCAGGACCCAACACTGATAAAAACAAGAAGCTGAACAGGGGCCACGTGGTAGACAATAACAGGCAATAACGGAGCCACATCCTCTGTGTTTGTGTGTTTCAAGGGCAAGAAGAGAGACAACTTTAACTTCACGCCATAGTATGTGTGCATTTGGGAAATTCTGGTGTCACTAACTTCCTTCTATCGAGCAAAAC